TCCTCAGGTAATGCTAATTCAATATTGTTCAAATCATTGCCCATAAATGCAGTGTAAGGGCCAAGTTGTGGGATCAAATTTTTGCTTATGAATGTATAGAAAATATCTTTAAAAATCCTCTAAAGAACAACAGTGCTATGGTTAATATTATAAATACTAGATGAAATCCTGCGCGGGTAATTGAACTTTTACTACTAATTCCAGTTAATATATCTTATAGTTTCCACTGACAGTTAATTACAGGCTTATAGCAGGAAAAATACTGTGTACAAATCCCGCAATTGGTTAAGGAGCAGAAGATATCCCACCCCATCGTCTTTCTTTTTACTTGAAAATCTCAGTTTAACTAATTGGCAATTTCTCTTTACGTGTTAGCAACTTTATTACTATGTTATACGTATTGTATTTAGAGGGTGCCCTGTTTCCATTTCCATCAAGGATAAAAGAAGTGAATGTGCATATTTTACTGAATTTGTCAGCACCTTTTATTGTGGTGGGGGTGTTAAAAATTAGTTTTTTTCAAACCTTATGAATAGGCCTAGTATTTAAAACTGAAGACTGTATGCAGAAAAATTGATTAAAGCTTTATGCTTTTAAACGCTTTAGTAAAATGTGAAAACTTAGAATGAACCACTTTAGAACAATACCATATTCATTAATTCATTTTCTCTTTCGCACGATTTTTACTATAATATACAAATTCTACCTCGGGTTCCTTGTCATGAAACTCTCAGTGGCTAACATGCACATTTTACTGGTAAATGTGTAAGCACAACTTACAAATAGTCTTTTGACATATTGTTTCCATGCTCATTCACATAAAAAAAACTATTTTTATACCCATGTAGTTTTACGAGGGTTGTCCCAGAAAAACACGAACTGTTTGACTATTTCATAAACTATTTTACCAAAATTAATAATTTTTTGCTCTTTGTTGGGAAATGATATTTTTGTTATTTCAACAAAATATTATGTGGCTTTAATGACATATGCACTTAAAAAAGCATTTAAAGGGTGTTAAATATCAGTGGTTGGCGCACGGCATTTTTTGACGTTCTTTATTACCAGGCTATATGGAAATATAATATGATAAAATTTACCTCCATAAATACTCTATAATCTGGAGTGCTCACGTGAAAAAGTTTATTAAGTTGACATCATAAATGCCAAAGTTATGACGTTAAATACCAAAACACTTTTAGTAAGATATTGTCAAAAATGGTGACATCGGGCGATAGTGCGGAGCACCAAATTATCAAGCAGTACTGTGATGAACGGGATATGCTTCCTGTCCAAACAGAAAACGAGAATGTTAATGAATGATGGAACAAAACAAACAAACACCTCGGACACAGGTTTATACCTAGTTTAAAAGGTTCGAGAATGGCTCTACTGGTTATCCGATAGAAAGGCGTTTGGTAGACCAACAAAAATAAATACAAACTGAGAAGTCAGGAGCTGGACGTCATACACTGTACATGAAGACCGCCGTTTAACTATGCGAACAGTTAGGTTTATGATCGGGTTTGGGAAATTGTCTATTAAAAGAATTAATTCTTTGATCTTTTGGTAACGCTGAAATTTGATATGGAGAATTTGGTAACTAAAAGAAAATTGGATACAGTGTCTAACTTATGCTTCAGACGAATTTTATTAGACGCACGATTCCAAAACAAATTCACAAACGCCACGAGCGACCTTTTTACGTCTTCAGTGTTGCGCCGACAGCTATTTTGTAAGAATTCTTTATCTGAGAGAAAAATGTTATTTCAAGAGATATTTTTTTAAAATTTTTATGCATTATTCAAAAAATATTGATTATGGTATATGCCGATTTTTGAACTTTATAGTACAAGTGAAACAAAATTTATTGAAAATGTTCGCGTTTTTCTGGGACAACCCTCGTAATCGCCTAGTTTTTCTTTTGATATCGGACTCGACGCCATCTAATGTTCTAGAAAAATTCCGTTAATTATAAGATCAGATAATCATATTTTATTTCTACTGTATAACTTAAATCAAGTTTTTATTGAATAATTCATTATTGACATTTTATCAAATAATTAAACGATTGCTTGTTATAAGTTTCATTAAAATTTGCCAGTAACTTAGATCCGCAAACCGTTACCGCAACCATACTCTCTCTTTTGTTAAAGCTAACATATTTAAGTGTAAGCTAAACAAATATCTGGAATTATTAAACGCCTTCAAAGTAAATCTTGCAGGTCGTGTTTTGTAGATGAGTTAGAAATTGATTTCAGTCTAAATAGATTTTATCGTTGAATTATTGAATTATATTTATCAACTATTAATTACAACTTTAGAACATATTGCTTTAATTTCCTCTTTTTTTTTTTTTTTTTTTTTTTTTTTTTTTTTTGCTATAACACAAAAACATCCTTAAAAAACGATCCCTATAGGCATTCAAAGTGAAAAATGCAAACAAGTCTCTTCCTTCAGCTCCCCCTTAAAAAATCAGTGAGATTTTTTTTTAAAATTATGAGTCTGTAAGGGATTATTAAAATTGACCAAAATCAAATTAAACTCAAACTTGCTTTGCAGTTCTGTTATTACGTAATTATATGTACATCCGTATACCAAATATCAATCCAGTATCTTAAAAGTTAAGTACTGTAATTCAATTTTTATAAGGAATTTTTAGCGATTTTCAGGTACGTCACTATAACTCCTATAAAAGGGGGCAAAAGTAAACATAACTTCTAACTAACTGCGATAATCTTCATGTCATATTACTATTTCCATGTCTTTTACAATTTGTTGATTAGATAGCCTAATCTCAACATTTTGTAATTTCAAACTGGTCTTCGTGCACATTAACAACAATAATCGAGGCATTATTTTAATTATTAAATTTTTCCCTTGTTTTGAGATATTTAACAACCGGTCTTTTATAATTTCTTGATACTTTGAATAATGAAACGCATTATGAAGAATTAATTGTAAGAATTCGATGCTGAATTTTTTAACATTCGTTAATGTTTTAATTTTGTCTGAATATGTATTTACCATTTCCCAACAAAGCAATAGATGTTAAGTATTTGCTTGCTTTTCAAAGGACAGCTTTCTCTGCAAATAATATGATAAATTATGTTAAATTCTTTTAAAGATATCTTGAGGAAACAATCTTTGCAAAAGCAGCCGAAGATGAAGTACTTTTATTCTTTCTTCTTGCCGTACCATGTAATTTTTTACGAAATTTCAACTATAATCCCAGATTTTGAAAAAAAAAACTTCGTCTCCTGTAAAGAAGATTACTTCAAGCAGAAAAATTACCATTTGCAATACACAAACAGTTTAATTTATTTCACTTGAGCCATGAATATTACGAGTACAGTATGTGAAATGTATATCTGCTTATGAAATAGAGGACAGAAGTCAAAAACACTGTTTTAGATGGTTACTGATGGCATATTCATCGAGATCCGTAAAGTTTATGAAAACAATATCACTTATTTTAGACATTGGGACAGTTGTTCTTTCCCATCGATTAAAGCATGAAGTTCAAAAGGCAGGGCTGAGTTTTGGTGAATTTCTGATGTGCAATGTTCATAAGTTGTTTCATCTGTATGAAAGAAGAAATTGTTGCAAATGCATACATACTCAACAGAGAACATCTGTTTTGTCCGAACATCAATGGGCAATTCTTTTCAAGAACACAGCAAAACCATGCAAGGAGAAGAAAAGGCCATGTTTGTGTCGAATCGAACCACAGTCAGACGTCTCTGAAGATGATTTGGATTTATCACTTCTAAGTCTTCTTCTTCAAAATGCCTGCTCATTGCAAGACGTGGAGTTACAAGATATAAAAACACTAAGGGAAAAAAGAAATCATTTTCTTCATGAAAAAAACGCAAGCATTGAAGATGATGTATTTCAGAGAGAATTTTCTTCTATTCGATCAACAATTGAGTCCATTGCTAATCAATGCGGAAAAGACGTTTTCACCTCAGTGACGAAAGATATCGAAAATCTGACCAAAAGTCAATTGAACGACAATATGTGTCGACATGTTTTATCACAGCTTTATTATATGGAGGAAACAACTGGCGAAAAACTCAGTCATCTTTGCGAGGATATGGAGCTACTCAAAATTTATTTGAAAAAGCTGTCGAATGGCAATCATCAAGTATGTATAGCATGATATTTATCACTGAAATAAATAATTTTTCGAGATATTTTTACTTGATTGTATTCCGCAAAAGTTACAAGTCCATGAATGTTTGCTTTTTCATAGATGTTAAGTTATTGAAGATTCTTAATCACTCATCAGCATGATCATGATTTAGTTGAAAAAAAAATCAGTATAAAATAGTTTATCAGAAAATTGTTTAATTTTCATTTCGTTTATATATAGACCATACTTTGCGACGAAAGGAACCTTCCTCCACTGCGTAGCGGAGATTATACAGAACATGGTTTTGTTGAGTCAAGCAAGGGTGCTGCTTCTTGCGGTTTGAAATATTAATTTCTGTTTTATTACCTTTTTACAAGTCATTTAATATTCTTGCTGAAAATTAATTAGCAGTTGAAAAATATTGTGTAAGAATAATGATTTTAAACAAACTTAACGTTCTTCACTTTTTCATTTTTTTTTTTTTTTTGATACTTTATAATAGTTGAAGATTTTATCAAGAATGTACCTTTTTATCCGCGTATTTACTGATGAAAAAAATTGATAAAAATGAGTAATCCGGATTCTTGCTAATACCTTAAACTGAGAAAATTAAAAGTTTAATTTCTGATTATCATCACTAGCTATGTTTGTATGCCTTATGCAAAGTAACCACAGATTTGAAAGTTAGAACTTTACATAAAATGCAAAATAGAGCTATTGTCTTTACAGCCCCAAAAAATCCAAAATAAACGGTCCGTGGAAATTTTATGTCCTATTTTTATTCTGGGCAGAATTAGATACAGTTTTTTTTCTTTTGTTTTTTGTTTGTTTTTTCTTTTATGCTATTTATTTTCTTTTCATAGAGATGAACACTGATCACGAAAAATCTTGCAATCACAAACAGAAATTGCAGCCTGCTACTCAGAAAATCAATACACCACTTCTACATATATCAACGGAGAATGGGGATTTCGAGATGACTAAAATACTTTTGGAAAAATCTCCAAACAAAGTTAATGATGTTGACGATAGGGGATGGACTGCTGCACATATTGCTGCGGAGAAAGGGGATCTCCGCATTTTACAGCTCCTTTTAAGGAAAGGTGTGGATGCTACAGGTAGCACTGATGCAAAATTCACAACATTGCACATTGCCTGTCTGAATGCTAAATACGAAATGTGTCATTTTTTACTGTCAAATTTTCCTGCTTTAATAAATGTTGTGGATAATCGAGGATGGAATGCTGCACATTTTGCTGCGCAAGGAGGAGACTTTCATATTTTACAGCTTCTTGCTGAACAGGGGGTCTCCATTACAGGGACCACTAAGGACAAATGCACTATTCTTCATATTTCATGTAGTAATGGGAAATATGAAATGTCCCAATATATACTGTCAAAGTATCCTGAAATGATAGATAATGTTAACGAATTTGGATGGAGGGCTGTTCATTATGCGGCAGAAGGAGGAAATATTCGCATTTTACAGCTTCTGATTGACAAAGGAGTCTCTCTAAATATAGCTACTGACAACAAAGAAACCCTATTACACATTGCATGTTTGAGTTCTAGATACGATATTTGTCAATATTTACTATCAAATTGCCCTGACAATCTACAAGACGTAGATGAGCGAGGATGGAATGCTATACATTTTGCTGCACAAGGAGGAGATGTTCGCATTTTAAAGCTTCTTGCCGACAGAATGCTATCTCTTAAAGAAACTACGTTTGATAAGTGTACAATACTTCACATTTCATGTAGTAATGCCAAATACGATATGTGCAAACACATACTACAAGTGCTTCCTGAAATCCTACATGATGTCAACGAATGGGGATGGAATGCTGCACACTATGCTGCGGAGGGAGGAAACGTCCAAATATTAAACTTACTTTCTGAAAATGGACTTGAAATCTGAGAACACGTAATTGATCAGATGTTTTGTTGAATTTTCTGTTTGAGAGATGTCATATAACTTGATGTACCCAGAACAATTTTTTGTGTTCACCTGCCTTTCATTAAAATCTCTAATAAGTCAGTACCTACAAAATATTTTCTACACTTTATACAAGTATTCCTCACCTTAAATCAGAAACTAGGCTTTTTGATATTATAAACATTTGCTTCTTCAATAAAAATTGAGCTCGGAGATTTTCTTGTGATTGTTCATCTACAAAATTACTTTGTGAAAAAGTCATATACGTAAGTACTCTGAAGTTTATAATAAAAGGATGCTGGAGTTCCTCATTAACAACATCCATGTAGTCTTTAGAGACCTGTTCTTCCAACAATCTGTTGGAATTCCGATTGACACTTATTGTATCCCTTTATTTTATTATTATGTTTTTATATTTCTATGAAGCAGAATTTATTCAAAAACTTCTATTCTACATAAGAAGAAAAAAACACTTGCTGTGGCCTTCAACTCGACATTTGGATATATCGACGACGTTTTCAATTTACATTAATCATTTCCATTCATGTCGCCTGCTTGGCGCAGTGGTTAGAGCGTCTGCTCTAGAGTCGCGGAGTAACGATTGATCCTTACGTCGCGGGTTTAAATCCCACTGTGGGACGTGAAGACCGATCCTTCGGATGAGACTGTATAAACCGAGGTCCCGTGTCGCAGTAGGTGCTGGCACGAAAAAGATCCCTCACTGCTCAATGGCCGTAAGTGCCGAGTATAGGACAAAATTTGCAGCTCTCCATCGGCAAATGGTGGCGTCTCCATATGAGTGAAAAATTCTCGAGAGGGATGTTAAACAACATACAAACAAACAAAACTTCCATTCATATGTCGACTCGATATATCCTATAGAGCTCGAAATAAAAGGCACCACAGAGTCTTCCACATCTGTTTCATAATTGGTGAAATCAGGTACCTAATTATCATGTACAGCACTTGTCATTTTGGCAACGGCCAGCAGAGCAAGTAAAAGAAGGCTGAGAAAGAAGCTTGCACTCGTGAACAGTCATGATATTGTGGAGTGTCCCGATAGAGAAAATATTAAACATTTTGTTGAAAAGATAAAGGTGAATGAGAAAATCAGTGTAAACTTTTCTTGGCTGATCAACATGGTCATGGATCAGACTAGTGATTGCCCGTGACATATTATCTTTTGTCCAAATATAAAATTGTGTGCAGAAGTTAATTGTGCCTTTAAAGTTTGCTTGAACGATCGTATTGGTTTTATTTAAATGTCCCATTCTTGTACAACCGATCAGGTGAAAGATTCAATAAGAGAGGATATGGAAAAAGAGGATGGACATACTAAGATATTTATTGCAGCCAGTCCTGCAGGAGTGGGAGTGAAGTACAAAAGTGTTAATAATGTTATTTATTATGAACCACCCATAGATTTAGATTGCTTCATACAACAGTTAGGACGTACTGTTTGGGATGACACTCAGTCTTATGAATTACTTATGTACACAGTAGACATCTAAGTAAGTTAGATACCGATCTGTTAGATTATACAAAGAACACGGAAAGAAAACTGTTGGAATCTTACAATTCTGTTCCAAGTGCCGATTTAGTTAAACATTTATGCTGTGATGTTTGTGATAAGCAATGTGACTGTAATGAAGAAAATTGCAAGTCCTTTAAAACCATGTATTTTATTCATAAATCTGAATTAGATATTGAAAGTTCAAGCGAATCCAGTGAAGATTATAGTACAGATACACCAAAGACTTTAAGTGAATCTGAAAGTGATAAAGTGTTAAATTTATTTAAGAACATGTATTTGTACATATATCACAGTGCTATAAATGCATTATACTTAGTGTGTTGATATTTAGTGGAAGTTGATTTTTACAGAAATTTGCTGTACATCTGATTTAGTGTAATTCTGAATACACTAAAACTTGTCTAAACAGGATACCACTTGATCCATAGAAATTGGCCAGATTACACAGCATTCCAGATTGGACATTTTAATCAACTGAATTCGAATGAAAGGGTTCAAAAATTGACACCTTTATAGGCAAGATTACATAGAACACAAAGTTCGAATTAGACAAGTTTTGTTGTACAGCATGTGTATAATTTTATACATATATAAGGAAGACAACTAATAATGTACTTAATTGAGCAGAAGCAGCTTTCTGTCAAAAGACATCCAAATGTAAAATATTTACACTATGACATGATAATTTTCTAAAACCGTTTTGCATCATATTTATAAAAATCATATAATTAATACGTCATATAAATGATATATAACAGAATAAAAATTATTGTATTAATGCATATAGTTTTCACTTCATTATTTATAATTTTATAGTCTTCCTATATCTGTCATTTTTATGTTTTTATTACTTAAGCCAGATAAGGAGGCTCAAAACTCCAAGTAAAAATGATTTTTGGACTTTCTGAAAATTAAATGATGTACAGGTGTACATATTAAGTTTATCTAACTTAATCTTCTCATAGGTTAACTGTGATTAAGTATTACATGTAGTAAACACAAAATCACTGGTGCTTATATCCATTGGGGAAAACATGCAATTAAAATATTTAATTAATTCATATTTGTCTAATAAATATACTTTTCATTTATTAATAATAGTATCATGAACTGTACATTTTTCATTATACGGTACCAATTTTGATGCACCAATTGCGCATTTCTACAAATTATGTCTCTTCAGTGATGCGCAAGCCGAAACGTTGGAAATCCAAAAATAATGGAATAAAAAAAGACTTGGAAGAGCTGAAAAAAAGAGGCCAAAGACTGGAGCCAAACACGTTGAAGGATCAGAGCTATGCATGAGGGAGATAATCCTTAATTTTGAAATAAATTTCTAAATTTTACCACACCAATTAAAAACATATCCGTATTTTCAAGCTAGTACCGAAGTACTAGGTTACTGGGCTGTAGAGACCTTCGGGGACTAACAGTCCACCAGCAGAGGCCTCGACACAGGGGTCATAATGTAAATCATATACGGTCTATAAATCTATCTTACATCCAAGGGCAGGTATTTCTAACTGTATAAATCTACCATGGAATTAGACATCTTAAGAGAGTATTGTTTAGAGCTTCCTTTTGGACTTTTACGAGAAGCACTGACTTTTACAGTTGCCGGCTTACTTTGACATTTAAACCTGCGTTATGTCGGAGGTACGGAATTGATAATAGATAAGAAAACATTAATATTGGTTGTAGGTATGGTGTTAGGGGCGCTAACATGATTTACCGGTAAACAATCAATACATGAGAAGATGGTAGGCAGAATAATATTAAAATGTGTTATTCGTTAAGGGCATTATCTCCTTTCGATTTCATTTGCTGAAAAATTAGATAAGGAAGAAAAAAACATTCCGAAAGGAAAACTTGGCAGGAGTTGGTCATGGTGGAAAGGGAGGGGGTTGAGGATAGATTAGTTGCAGTTCCCTTCCTAGACAAAGTAATATGTACTTTGAAACTGCCCATTATTTCGTTTTATTTAATTGTTCAGCTAAATATTTATATCGCAAAAGAGCTTCAGTATATTGTCCTTGTGTAAAAGTAAGCCGTCGATTGTAAAAGTCAGCGCATCTCGCAAAAGTCCTTTTCAAGTTGAAAATCATTACAATTCTATATAACAAGTTGACAACAACTAATGTCAACAATTTTATGCCCAAAGATTGCAAATAGGAGGCAATATTAGTTTCATCAGTGCATATCTGGTCATGATATTTGAAAACTTAATTCTTGACAAGTACGTGGAAGGATATGGTCAAATTTACAACTAAGGGTGAAGATCACTTTGCCATTATTTAATATGGTCATTCCTTGCATCAAGAATACATCTTTCTTTGTTTGTTTGCTTTATTTACGTAAAAAATCAAAGTTCAAGCTTTCAAGAATTTTATTGTTTAAAAATTATCTATACTCTGTGAAAACACAGGGTTTGAATGTGAACTCCGTAATTACAGATATTTCAATTTTAAATGATATTTACATTTCATTATTGTTGTTAAAAAACTCTTATCAAATGTATTTATCATGTTCATCACACACCCTTTATTAATGTGATGACCCTTCATACTTTAAACAGTGTGAAAAAAACATAGGTAATCAAAGATTACTAAGCTCATCTCGACGAATATTATCCATAAGTAGGGCAAATATCACCTCATATTTTATGGAGGTAGTGTGCATCTCGAAATCAATATCTATGCAAGTTAGGTTTAAGTAGGACTTATAGTTACTTGGAAATGGACCAGCTCCAAAAACTTTAACCTGTACACTAATCAATAAAACGTCTGTCAGTTCGAACATCTGAAACAAGTCTGGAAGTGTCCATTCCTAGATCTAGAAAATGTAGGTCAGATTCAGCATTGAAAGCTGATCTGGAGGGTCCATCTCTAGATACATTATCCATACTAATTTGGTTAAAGTATTGCTAAAATTTTATCGTCTGGAAAATAACGGTCAGAACCAGCATCTCGAGCAGGTTGGGAAGTGACATCCTAAAATGCACCATCCATGAAAATTTGGTCCAAGTAAACATTTCCAGAAACAACCGACAGCAGACTTCGGACAATGGACTTTTTAGCTCACCTGAGCCGAAGGCTCATTTGAGCTTTTCTCATCGAAATTTGTCCGTTGTCGGTCGTCGTTGTTGTCGTCGTTGTTGGCGTTGTCGTTGTAAACTTTTCACATTTTCATCTTCTTCTCAAGAACCACTGGGCCAATTTTAACCAAACTTGCCACAAAGCATCCCTGGATAATGGGGATTCAAGTTTAATCAAAGGAAAGGCCATGCCTTCTTCCAAAGGGAGATAATTATGAATTCGTGAAAAATTAATGGCATCATTTAAAAATCTTTTTCTCAAGAACATCTGTGCTGAAACTTATGTGGAATAATTGTGAGGTAGTGTAGATTCAAATTTGTTCAAATCATGACCCCTGGGGGTAGGGTGGGGCC